CTCACAAGGTACAGCAGCATTGAAAGACAACGTTTTGGTGCAACCTTGAACTGCTTCCATGAATGATATCTCCAGTGATACCTGTCAAAAGGAGATAATAAGCAGACCCCATTGAGATGAACAGCAAACAGAAAACAACTTAGAACATCTGCGGAGAACTAGCAACAGTTCATCAAAGGTGAAAGAGGACCTTGATATCTTGTCCACCAAATCCCCCACCAAATCCCCCACCAAAGCCTCCGCCGAAAGCCCCATCTCTGAAGAATTTGAAAAACTAGTTCCCAGCAAATGGCAAGATCAGTATTAAATATATAATGCTGGTGCAAATCATAGACCATAAGAAATTCAGATAGTTCAAATGCAAAAAGAAGTGTAAGTTATTTAACTGACGATACGATACGATAAAATAAAGAAAAGAAAAGAACTTTAAATGTTTACACAGAAAACTTCATCATTAAGTGGTTCATCTAACAATTGTTCGAGTAAGCTCACAAACTGCTAAAGTTTATTTAACCTTAACAGAGTGATTAGAACCGCCCACAAGGCCTTAGGTTAAGACTCCATAGATATGGTTATAAGTTCGGATTGCACCAAAAGACCAACAGCATAATATGTATGGTTCCCAACAAACTATAGAATCAACTTAAAGCCAAGATAGTGCATTTTGGATGGGACCAAATAAGCTTTACTTCATTTGGGTAAATAGCAAATTATATTTCAAACATAAGCTCAGGTTGTGCCCTACATCACTAGGAGTCAACCATCTATGTGAGAGTTAGCAATTAAGGAAACTGTCAAGGAAATTTCAGATTTTTCCAAGATAAACCCCACAAACTTTTGCTATGAAGAAACTAGAAAAGAAATCATGAAAAGGCTACAAGGACGAATAACATAACAAAATCATTTAACATTGTAGTTTTTGTTTTTTAAAACTGTTGTCCCTTTCTGCCTTTCCCAGATTTTAACAAAGCACTATCTGCTGAAATCAAGCAAATAAAGGAGATTTTTTTAAAAAAAAAAAGACCTTTTCTTTAAAAATAATTAGCAAAATCGGCTCTTTATGAAAGTATTAGCAAAATCAAGGTCGATTTTGAAAACTATCAACTTTAAGATACACGGGACTAGTAGTTCTGTGTATTAGTTCTCGTTAGTTAAACCTTAACCATTTAGCACAAAGCACATAGGACTACCATTTCGGATTAACCATAATTAGCAACCACTAACTACACGAGACTAATTCCATGTATTTTAAAGTCGATATTTTGCATAATCAACCTCTTTTCGATCGATATTTTGCATAATCAACCTCTTTTCGGCCAGCCGAAATGAGGTGGCCAAAAGGAGTTCGATTTTGCTAAATATTTTTTTAAAAAAAAATAATTTTGCTAATATTTTTTTAAAAAATGGTCTTTTTTTAAAAATTCTCTAGCAAATAAACTATATCAAGCAGATGAACAGCACATCCTAAAACAGACATTTAAAGAATATAACATAAATGGTGCCGACTATATCCTGAAACATAGAAATACTTTTAGATAAGTTTACATACATCACTCCCCCCGCCCCCAAAGATATCCTCAAATGGAAATCCACCACCGGCATATGGTCCCCCACCAGAACCACCTCCTGAAGCAGCCTGTTCGAATGCATCAGGACCAACCTGTAATATACCATGGACAACAAGAAGGAACTCATCAGCGAACATACAAATTTTCAGCCACATGATTTACACCTGGAGGTCTAATTAAAGATTAAAATACCCTGACATAAAAGTCACTAAAAGTATCTGTTGTGCATAAGGAATTGCATACAAGATAAAATACTCAGATTTTAAGTTTAATAATGTGGAAGAATATTACTAGAGGTTAAAATAACATGTCAAGCCCAAGTGAGCTACGTGAGGTGAGACGAGTCCTCTAGAACTACTAGCATAGCAAAGGAGAAAAAAACACTGTTAATACAACAACAACAACAACCAAGCCTTTATTTCACATGTTTGGGGTCGGCTACATGAATCATATTTTTCCATTCCATTCTTTTGCGGGTCATTTCCCCCGTTACGTTAATCTTAATCATATCCTTCTTAATTGCTTCTAATCAAGTCATTCTAGGTCGACCTCTAGATCTCCTAGCCCCATTAACTCTAATATTATCACTTTTCCTAATCGGTGCACTAAGTGGTCTTCTTTGTACATGACCAAACCATCTTAATCTATTCTCTCTCATTTTATCCTCAATAGGCGCAACCTCTAATTTACTACGGATGCATTCATTTCTTATCCTATCTTTTAATGTATACCCACAAGACCATCGCAACAATCTCATTTCTGCTACACTCATTTTTTGAACATGTTGTTTAAAAAAAGCACTGTTAATAAAGGAATTAAAATTTTTAGAAAATAGGAAGAAGGATCCATTTACAAGACATTCAAAACTATAACTTCCAACATCATATGTGTCTACATTCTATACGTCTGTGTATATGCAATCCTCCATGTAAACTTAAATCTTACTTTTCTCAACAGTCCAGACGATAAAAATTAGCAGAGAACTCAAGCTTAAAATACTTATTTGGGGTATTGCATAAAGTTATTATGCACATGCATCAGAGTGTAGAGTTGAAAAAGGTGAAAAATACCCTCCCAAGTTCCAAGAAATTGTGATCCAAGACCCAAACAACCGCTGACTATGCAGAACTAGTGGTCCATGAAAATTCTTAGTGAAGGAAGAAAAGTAACTATTAGCACATTTTTTAATGGATGGCGCAGAGAAAATGCTATGCTTCAAATTTGTGATTTTTATAGATTATAACCCACAATTTTGTGTCATTTTTTGTTCTTTTAACTGAAATGGCAGTTAATATAAGTAGTTTAAAATTCACAATTTAATGAGCTATAATGCATAAGTTGCGTCAATTTTTCTTGATTTCGACCAAATAAAAATTAAGTATGTGTACATAAAAATTAGTGATTTTCATAGGCTACCAATGATTTTCGCCAATTTTTGTTTATTTTGACCAAATTGCTTAATTGCGCTTACATCAAAATTCACGATTTCCATGGACACCCACAATTTTGTCAAGTTTCATTTATTTCGACTAAATGACATTAAATATGTGATTTCAAAATTCACAATTTTCATGTATCGTAACCCACAATTTTTGTCAACTTTCATTCATTTTGATCAAATGATAAGCGTACTTCAAAATGCATGATTTTCATGTTCTATAACCTACAACCTGTCAATTTTCATTTGTTTTGACCAAATGGAAATTGAGTCTATAACTCATAATTTTGTCAATATTTCTATGTCTCAACCTATTAGCAATTAACTATGCATATTTCAGAATTCGTGATTTAATAAACTGTAACTCATGATTTTCGTCAATTTTTGTTGGTTTTGACCAAATGCAAATTAACTACATGCACATCAAAATTTACGATTTTCATGAGCTATAATCCAAATTTTTTTCCATATTCCATTGTTTCAATCGAATAGGAATGAAGTATGTGTATATTAAATTTTGTGATTTTTATGAACTTAAATTTGCAATATTTATTGGCCATAAGACACATGTTTGCCAAATTTTGTTCATTTCGACCAAATCGCAATTAAATATGCATACTTCAAAATTATAATCACTGATTTTTGTCAACTTTCTTTTGTTCCGACCAAATGATTATTAATTATGCTTACATCAAAATTCATAATCTTCATGGGCAAACCATGATTTTTTTTTAATTTTCATTTCTTCAACTAAATGGAAATTTAGTATGTTCATGCTCTGTAAACTATGATTGTTGTCAATTTTCTAATAGTTTCCTTCGAATGGAAATTGAGTATGTGTACAATTAAATTTGTGATTTTGATGGTCTATAACCTATCATTTTTGTCATTTTTATTCGTTTCAACCTACTAGCTACCTAATAGCAATTAAGTGTGTGATGTTCGAGCTATAACGCACAATTTTTGTCAATTTTGCTTGTTTTGAACGAATGCAAATTAAATGTGTAGAACAAAATTTGCGATTTTCATACACTACCCAAGATTTGTCACTCTTGTTGTTTCTACCAAATGAAAATGAAGTATGTATACATCAAAATTTGCAATTTTAATGGACTAAAATTTACAATTATCATGACCTACAATTTTTGTCAACTTTATTTCGACCAAATGGAAAGTAAGTATGCATACTTCAAAATTTACAATTTGCAATTTTCATAGATTATATCCCATGATTTTTATCAACTTTCATTCATTTCGACCAAATGATAATTAATTATGTGTACTTCAAAATTCACGATTTTCATCAGCTATAATCTACGGCTTTTGTCATTTTTTGCTGTTTCGACCATATGAAAATTGAATACAATACGTGAAAATTTGATATTTTCATTGTCTATAACCCATGATATTGTCAATTTCTGTTTGTTTCAACCAAATGGCAATTACGTACAACTAGTTCAAAATATGCGATTTAATGAGCTATAATGCACGACTTTGTATGGTCTATTACCCACAATTTTTCATGGGCTAGTAAATGTATTTGATTACAAGCTGAAAAGGACGAGTTTAAAAATATGAAAAGCTTCCAACAGAACAACCTGTCAGAACAACCTGTCAGCTCACCTCTTAATACTTACAATATATATGTTCAGCGATTGACCTATGTTATAAGAATCAAGAAACAAAAAAAAGAGAGAGAAAGAAGTGAAAGGGTCATAAATCAGCAACAGCACATAGACCATAGAGAATGTTAAGCAGTGACCCATCAATCCAGTCAAGTGCGGGTCTGGTCTAGAAAAGGCCATGAGGTGGGATGTAGTCCCACCTTGGAAAGAAAGCAATATTGATACAAGGTTAAATATGCTTGGACTCATAACTCAAATAGGATTGAACCCTTTTGAGTCAATTGAGCGGGCCCAAGTAGATTAACCTAGCCTGTCTTCTTTTCCAACCCTAACAGAGAACATAATACAATCAGGAGTTTTTCGGGTAGTATATGAATTTCATATGCATACATTCTAATGCATTCTGAAACGATAATCCATATTATAATAGATAAATACTCTGAAAAGAGAAGTTAACTTAAATTAAATACATCCTGTCTCGACAGTTTCTACATGATCATAATAACAAAGACATTCATAATCAATCATTAGTAGATCCTAGCAAATAAGATCAACTTGTAAATTCAATAATGACAAACAAGAGCCAGAAGCACCTGGTCATAAAGCGACCTCTTCTCTTCATCCTTTAGAACCTGCATAAAGCAGAAGAGCACAAGTATTGCTTATAAAGAAATAAGAATAATAGAGTAAAACTTCACTATGACAAAGTGAATAACCTAAAAATAACACATCTTAAACAAGCTACCTCATAAGCACGTGAAACTTCTTGGAATTTTCTTTCCGCTTCAGCATCATTTTTATTTGTATCAGGATGGAGCTTCTTTGCAAGCTGGAAAAGGACATCAAGGGAAAATAAGTACCAAAGAAGCTACATATAGGTTCCACCATGAGTAAGCAAAACTAATACATGCAAATTTAGCATACAATTCAAAAATAAAAATTCGGAACCGCTTTTCTAAGAGTTTGGCATACAAGTCAATAAAGTTCTTGAGAAGAATGAGCTGATATTTCACAGCCATGCAACTTGTTATCAAACATCCTCCACTGATTAATACCACATGGCTGATGAGCATGTAAGACAAGGCTATACAAAGGAAACTTCATGGCGAAACAACATATTGGAAATCATGGTTCAGCACTAAGAGTGCCTCTATGATTACCAAGGAAAACAAAGTCTACTAATACAACATGTTTTCATATAGGAATCTAACTCATAACAAAGACATTGTATGAGCCTAAAAGAAATGAGATCACCACCTGAGAAAATGGTAGCGATACAATAACAAATTTCCATTTTCCACTTGACATGTATATTTGACACTTCATGAATCATGATTTCAGTTGTATAAGCATTGTGTAAACTTTGAAAATACACAATTTAGAGTGCAAATCAAATTATATGTATCAAACTATCTAAGGAGATGAATAATAACAACATAAAACAGGTCAACAAAAAATGATAACTCAATTCTGCAGAAAATTAAACATAAAAAGCAAAATTGGCATGGGAGAAATCCAGCAAAGGGACATGAAGCTTACTGCATAATAAGCTTTCTTAATTTCCGAAGCAGTTGCATTCTTACTCACTCCCAGTACATCATAATAGTCCCTTGCAAGCGCCGGCCTTGTTCCTAAAGAAATCAAAAAATAAGCATCAAGTAAAGAATAATAAACTTTTACAAAACATTAAATCTATTCAATAGAGACAAAACCTACCATGAAAATTCCTCTTATTCATATAAAAGACGCCACTTTGAACACAACTCGTCCATTTTCCTACACAGTTTACTCCTCATAAAATAAAACCACAAAACCAATTAATTCATAATACAATCAAGAACGTACCTTTTCCCCAGTTGGAGTCCGAGGAAACCCTAGACGATGAAGTGCATATCCAACGTGATGACTGCTCCAACTAGAAACATCCAAGCAAAGAAATAATTAAATTTCTGACGGATAATTGAAAAAAATTCGAAGAAAATTTGCCGGGGGGGGGGGGGGGGGGGGTTGGCAATCGGGAGGAACTAACTTGTTTAGGTTCGATCGGAGAGACCTCCGAGCGAGTAAAAGGGCGAGCTTTGCACCGTGAGATCTCATTGCAGGAGAGATTGCAAGCGATCAAGACGCACAATCTCTAGGTTTTTTGTAATAAATCCACCATTAAAATGTTGGAGAACGAAGAAGCTCTACTCCTTCGGAGAAGAGAGCGAGCGCTTCAGTTCGTTAATATCCCTGAGGAGAGTGAAAACTTCTGGAAATTTCAAATGGGCTTTCTTAATGGGGCCAGTGTAATATCGAATAATTACATCTCGGCCCACGTAATACATAGACCGTATGGGCTGAAATTTAAGCCTATTTATAGCCCATAAGCTAGCCTAAACGTATTGTTACCTCAATAAGTTTTAAAATAATAAATTCTCTCTCTCTCTCTCTCTCTCTCTCTCTCTCTCTCTCTCTCTCTCTCTCTCTCTCTCTCTCTCTCTAAGCTACAAATAAAAAAATAATAATTAGACAAATTAAAAATTAGCTCAAAAAAGGTCCTAGGTAAAATGGCCCTATAAAACTTCTAATGTGTAACATAAGGGGCTCTTTGGTTGGTTTCCTAAAAACCAAAAAAAAGGAAATTGAGTTATGGAAATCAAAAAAGTGCAATTTCCACCATTTCCATCCCTAAAACTAACCCACAACATCCAATAAAATATTATTTTCATCATACAACTCATCCACATCATCCAATAAAATATTATTTTCATCCAACAACTCATCTCATATCATCCAATAAAATAAACCAAACAACTTTTATGGGTCACATCATCCAACTCATCTCATCTCCATCTCATCTCATCTTTAAAAATAACTCACATCATCCAATAATATTATGACAACTCATCTCATCTCATCTCCATTTTATCTCCACCCATTTCCTCCAAAAAAACAAGGAAATTGATTTCCTTAAGTGTGGGTCACATCATCCAATAATATAATGACAACTCATCTCATCTCATCTCATCTCCTATTTTTAAGATTGAACCAAACACAAGAATAGGACCTATTATAAGAAATATGTTTCTTATTCTTTGATTTCCTTCTTTTTTAGCCAATCAAACAACCATCCAACAACTTTTCTTAAAAAAACACTCACATCATCCAATAATATTGTGACAACTCATCTCATATCATCTCCTATTATTTGATTTCCTTCTTTTTTAAGCTAACCAAACAACCATAAAACAATTATTTAAGGAAATAGGTTTCCTATTCCTTAATTTTATTCTTTTTTTGGCAAACAAACAGCCCCTAAATGTCTGACAATTATTTAAATGTTGGAGCATAGGTTCAGCTTGATCCAAATTGATGTTTCTCTAATATTCATATTATGATGATATTTTGGATAATACCATTATGTATTTTTATCTTTAGATAGAACGATGTGATGCTCTTAAGAACCTTATTGAACTGTCCGTCTTACTGCTATTTGTTACCCTATATATTTTATCTTCTTTTTTTTAAAAAGAAAACATAGGCATAGCCTATGTTCAACCTATGTAGAATCTATACACATAGGGACCCAAAAACATAGGACCCTACATGGGACAGGTGATCGGTGTCGGTTCCCTGTCCCATAATGCACTGTTCATGGGACAGGGAGCCGGCACTTCATAACTTTCTTCTTATTAGTCAAAACGTACTCCACAACTTTCACAGAACTAGAGAAAGAAGGATTCCTCTCTCACTAGAGAGAATCCCAGCCGACATCATCATCCCAAGTGGCTTCATTTGTCCTGTAATAAGTACTCGAACACTATTGGTGGAGGGCGACTCGGGCGGTCACCGGATGCATGCGCTGAGCTTATAAACACTACCATGATCTTGATCGACTGAGGTGCATGATATCCTGATCAACAGAGAAGGCAACAGATATCCTGATCGTGCAGTGTATAACAAATTTCGCTAGGAAACACTGAAAATATTTTCCTTTAATCAAATATATAGATGCCAGCAGAGCCCCCATGAAATTATCTTAGATGACATCCAATCAAGGTGCCGAGCTTATGAGACAGTGAGCTGTGTCTGTCCGTTGTTAACCAAAAAAATAGTACTCCAAGCTGCCTAGAACATTAATTTCGTCTCGTCTCCATCTAAATTGAGGACCCTTTGCGGATTGACATTTTTGGATTGCATGTATCACATGAAAACAAGGGGAAGGGAGAATGGCCAAAAGTGGGAGTTATGGAAGGTAGCTGCAGGCTTTGCAGTGACTCATCTACATTGATTGAGTAGGCATATTATAATGGAGGAGGCGATTGAAAGGTCAAGAGTACCCTCAACTTTGTACATGTCATTGATTGAGATGGTCAAGTTTCGCTCTGAATATCATCCAAGGTTATTAGAAAATAATGACTTTAAGGGCCTGTTCGGTTGTTTTCAAAAAAAAAAAAAAAAACAAGAAATGTAAATGTCACATTTTATTTGATATCATGACATTTCAAGAGTTTTTCCACATTTCATTTTTTGTGTTCGTTTCGCTAAGAAATCACCCCTTGAAACCGCCAAGTCACATAAAGAGACAAAAGACGCCGCAATAGTAACAATGCATGTGTTTTTTATTTCTTGTGTTTGTTTGAACAAAGGAAAGAGAAATGGAAACATTTAAATAATCTGTTTAATTCCCATTCATTGTTCCAACAGTGCTTTTAAATATTAAAAATTCATTGAATTAACATTTCCAAGTGTTTTCAGAGGTTTTTTTTTTGTGAAAACACATTTCTTAAAAATGTGATGTGGCATCCTACGTGGCGTTTCATTTCTCTAAATTTCAAAACGAACCAAACTGAAGAAATGGAAAACCCTTGAAACCAAAAACCTATGTGGCACATGGGGGATTTCTTGAAATGTGAGGTGGCGGGTGTTTTCTCATTTTTTTTTTAGCAAACCGAACAGGCCCTAAGGTGACAGCTTATTTTGCTAAATGAACTAGCAAGAGATAATTAAATATCCCGGTTACATGACCAATTAAATCCATTCATATTACGGCATATCTCGGTTTGGAGATGACATTGGTCACAGGCAGTAGCATACTATCCCGTGGCTTCACAACTTCAGGTAAACATGATTTCTCTTTCTTAGTCCAAAGGATTCCTAACCGACACCATAAATTTTATCACAAGTACGTGGTTTCACTTGGTCCTAAATTGTCCTAATTTTCAAACACCACAACTTGACCGTCTCATCTTCGTGTTCTTTGTCGTTGAGTCCCCTTTTGAGTCTGAAGACCCGCACTTTTTGGGTAGCACAATGAACATGGGCACAAGAGAGTAAGGGAGTGGCTAAAAGTGGATTTATGGAATTAATATAAAACTATAATCATCGGCTCTCACCATAACTTTAGAGTTTTGGTTTATTTGTTAGAGGAATTAAATTTAAGATGGTATCAAAGCAACCCAGGTTCAAATCCCACTGTCCACGAATTTTAAGCGGGTTTTCTAAAGTTTGACACCGCTGCGTGAGTCCAGGTTTTAGCCCATAAAAAGAGCGTTCAACCCAGTTTTTAGAATTAATATAAAACTATAATCATTATCAATTTTAAATCAATTTTAAAATATGTCTCGTTAAGGTTCAAATCCCACTGTCCACGAATTTTAAGCGGGTTTTCTAAAGTTTGACACCGCTGCGTGAGTCCAGGTTTTAGCCCATAAAAAGAGCGTTCAACCCAGTTTTTAGAATTAATATAAAACTATAATCATTATCAATTTTAAATCAATTTTAAAATATGTCTCGTTAGTTTTCTAAAGTTTGACACCGCTGCGTGAGTCCAGGTTTTAGCCCATAAAAAGAGCGTTCAACCCAGTTTTTAGAATTAATATAAAACTATAATCATTATCAATTTTAAATCAATTTTAAAATATGTCTCGTTA